GCCTTTGATATCGGTGCTCTACAATAGCGAAATGAGCTACTATTTGGTTCAGAAATATAAATCCTTGCAGGTGATCAACAAGTCGATTGAAACCGGATCCGATTTTCTCGAAGAAGGCCTGATCAAATGTCCTAAATCACGTAAGAAATCACGTAAGAAACAATAGTTTATCAAGTTTTATCTTTCCAACTTAACCCTTTGCACGTAGGGTCATGCCTTTTCTTGAGCCTCTCTTAGAAACTATGATATTCGATGAAGTCGACCAGCCGAAGCAGCCCAGTCTACGGAAAGGCTCCCAGGTCGCCATGGCCATTCAAGAAGAGATGTATACGCTAGATGTGCCTTCGAACGCTGATCTCAAATCTACCTTCCAAATCTGCTAAACGATTCTCTGAACGGAGTTATGAAGCAAAACAGCGCAACGGTAGTGGTCGGGACTCACAGTCAAAACGTCGTAGGATCGGTCCCGAGTTACTTTTCCATTCTTCAGAAATATAGCTAACGGCCTTTAATAGCCTATTTAACTGAATTCCTGAAGAATGCAAAACAGTAACACGATAAGGGACCGATCCTACGACGTTTTGACTGTGAGTCCCGACCACTACCGTTGCGCTGTTTTGCTTCATAACTCCGTTCAGAGAATCGTTTAGCAGATTTGGAAGGTAGATTTGAGATCAGCGTTCAAAGGCACATCTAGCGTATACATCTCTTCTTGAATGGCCATGGCGACCTGAGAGCCTTTCCTTCAGTCTGGTCGAGTGCTTACCTATAAGCAATTGAGTAGCTAGCTTTTCGAATCGGCTCAAACACGGCTAAGAAGGCAGCGCTGAAATAAGCAAACCAGCCCTTTTGGCGTTTCTGCTGGGGCCGTATGCTGAATGTTGGGGAGGGGATGGGGTCCCCGACGGTGGACGGACTACTTCAACTCGGTCCTTAGAACCGCCACAATTTGGTGCTTACCTCAGAACTAAGCCTTAAAGAGAGGGACGGGTCCGTCCCCTCTCCAAGGCTTAGTCCTGGGGTGAGCAAACCAGCCCTTCTGGCGGAGCTGCTGGACCCAGCTGCACCACTTGCGTCAGTACTCTCCTATCGTACCAACCGAGTTGAAGTAGTCCGTCGACCTCGGGGACCCCATCCCCTCCCCAACATTCAGCATACGGCCCCAGCAGAAACGCCAAAAGGGCTGGTTTGCTTACCTCGGCAGCGCTGTTAGAACTTTTTTGAAGTCAAGTGCCTGGTGTCGTTTTCAACATGGGAACGGTAGCCGATGGCAGAAAGGGGGTGCATTCTTTTTTTGAATTGGTCACAAAGGATGGAGTGGGCTGCACTTCAATCTTAGTTTTCTAGGCTCAAATTTTTAGTTTTTCGTTTTTTTTACTCATACAAATTGAAGCCAGTAAAATTTTGAAAAAGAGCGTCCATGAACGAGTAAAGTTCCGTCTGGTTGGAAGCGCACTACCTCCAGAGAAATCCTCGCCGTTCTGTAGCTATCAAATCACTCAACAATTGAATTGGCAAAATTGTCAAAAAAAAGGTCCATGAACGCGTTAGAGTTCCGTTATCGGTTGGAAGACGCACTACTCCAGAGAAAGATTTCGCCGTTCTGTAGCTATTCAAAAAATTTTCCTTATACAGCAACCAATCGAGAAATATTTTTAGATAAGAAGAAATCACATTCCAAAATGAAATCCGCAATAGTGGTATTGCCGAAAGAACCCATTCCAAGTGAGGTGCTACGATTTTTCATCCTTTGACGTTCCGATAAGCTCAATTTTTTAGTGAAGAAGACTTCAAACAATTTGACGGCCGGATTATTCCTTGTAACTACAACTGCGATTCAATTGTTCATTACCTGCTGCTAATATTGTTGTATAATATTTGTTGTATAATTTACATAGATCTCATAAGTATTATACGTACATATTAAAATAATTTTGTTCTGAGCCATATTCACTCAACTCATGGAAGGCGACTGCTAATAGCTTGGAAAATACATACGAACCTTTCAAAAACCTTCTACGGGTCGCTTTACAGTATGGCTAGTTAAATAGCTATAGTTATTCATTCCTTCGCTGTTTGATTTTAGCGCCACCATTAGTGGTGCGAGTCACACGGGTAAGTCAGTGGATATGGATCTGAAAACTTGGACATCAGAAGTGCAGAGTAGAGCCACTTCTGGGGCAGTGAATAAGAGGGGGCAGGAACTCCGGCGAAAATTGCTATGCTTTTTGGAAGGCTTTCCTCACTTGCAATGGCTTATGGTTAGTCTCAATTTCAACAAAAAGGAGATTTTTACGCAGTTTCAAATGCACTGCCTCCAAAATGCCCCGTTTCTTGCGATAGCGCCCAAGACACAGAACAGGTGATCTCCTGGAGGATCAAGTGAGGGATGTAGAAGAGCCTCGCTCAAACCACTGCAGAGGATGCGTTAGCCTTGGTTTGAGTGTCACTTGAACTCAAGGGTCGGCATGAGTCATGTATATCATAAGCAAGTTGCAATGAT